ACACCAAGTAAATTTCACTTTTAAGTATCTTTGAGAAAGTATTCTAAAGCAACTTGATTTACAGGGGCTTGCTGATTTGGGAACCAACATTTCTCTTTTATTTAGAATTCTGCTAAAATTAATTATTTTTTAGGCAGTAATTTTAAAAGTCAGTTTATATTGATAATTATTATCTGTCTAAACTATCAATATCTAAGACAGACATAAAGGTATTTATAAAAGTATCATTAATAAGCAATATTAGTAAGAGTGGCAAACATATTTCCAAGAAAATGGAAGGCTTTCCTAACTTGAAGGAACCTAAAGTTTCACCCCAACAATATTAAAATACACATGGCCATGAGGAAACATTTTTAATTACTAAAGTTCTTTTTTTTTTTTTTTTTGGATAGAGAAAAGTTTATCTAAACTTAGGAAAGGTTGAGATATTTGCAAGGCATTCGGGTAAATTTTAGGACTAAATGCAAAATCTCTGGAGAAGGTGTGGGAAGAAATTACTTGAGGTTTCTTGTGAATTTTTGTTATGGTTTGATCATAAATACCATGCAAATATCCTTTGTCAGTGTGTTTTGGCAGTTCTTCCAAGGATACCAGGGAGTGAAGAGGATTACAGAAAGAAGGAAAATGAGGTTGATTTTACACTAGAAAAATGCAGTGGGGAATTCTATAACTTTCTAGCAAATTTTCTCCCTCATTCCTGTGTCCATTATACAATGCTACGTAATCTTTATAAAAACAAAAATACAAACTTCCAAATATAATCAAAACTTCATTCTTCCCTACAATTTTGAGAGTAACCAATATTTAATCGCATCATTTGTTCTAGTACTATAACAATTAGGGTGATTTTGGTTTTAAACATAACATAGCTTCAAGCGGAAAAGGAAGTTTCTTGGCTTATAGACTCTAAGGAAGTCTGTCGACTCTGGTCAACAGAGACACTACAAGCTGCATTTTGGTCTCAAGAACAAGAGGTGCTAGAAAGGGACGGTCAGGACGTGCCATCTTATCTGCTTTTCTCTGTGTGTCTACTTTATTCTCTCTCTTCATAAATCTTCTTTCTCTAGATAGAAAATAGCAATTTCTTCATTCTACATCTTATAGCTATAGTCACTTAGCAAAAAAACTAAAATGGCCTTGATGGGTTTTTTTGGAACAAAGTCCTAAAATCATGGAGAACAGATTTATTGAATTCAATTGTATCTGTTGGCTACCCCTAGACCAATCAACAGGACTGGGATCGGCTCACTTCAGTTGCAGATGACCGGCTGTAGCTAGGGTAGAACGATCATGTGATAACATAGCAGCTCCCTTGGGTACCATAAGGCTTGGCAATAGGGACATGGAGCCATTCTCAGGCAAAGGAGAATGTTGTAGTGCTAGGCATAAAAAAACACAATACACTACTAGTACGTATTGCAACCCCATGGAAAAAACACATTATATCCAGGCTGGTTATACTAAGTTCATGGAAGGTTCAACTCCAGCCCACTTAAGCGACTCTAGGTATATGAGATATATAACCAATAGCATGTCTACACCACGTGTGAAGTAAAATCCCAATGGAGCAAATAGATTAAAATGACTGAGTGCCATCTTCATGAAACTCTTTGTGAATACTCATCTGAGCCCTATCAAACTCTTGCAAGTATTTATGATCACTACTACACAGTTTATTATATAATTGTTCTACAGTTGCCTAAATATTAGATCTAAGTTCCTACCTCAACTGTAGGTCTCTTATTTTATGCTTCCTTTTACTAAAAGACCTCTACACCAAGATTAGCTTTAAGGACATAATTTATTCCACATTCATTCCATAAATGATTCTTTAAGAGCCTACTAATTTCTAGGCACTATACCCTATGCTTAGAATACAAAGATGATCAAAGACGGATCCTTAAAGAGAGCACATGATTTGATGTCTTTTGTCCCCATCACACTTGACATAGAAATCTAGCATGGCCAAATTTGATCTAGCAATTGGATTGCCTCTCCAAACACCAGTAGCATATCTAGATGCAATTTAGTTTGCCTATCCAGAAAAATCAGAATTTTCCTCCCTTTTAAGCCGAAAGGCTATTAATGCAAATCCAATTGAATTTGCATTTGATTACATTTCTGATGGAAACATTCATATGCAAATGAAAATTCATGCAAAGATAGCCAGATAATTCAAATAGTTGCTGAAATATCAAGATAAAATTAGGATATTAAATGTACATCCATCTATGTTTACTAGGTTACACTAAGGTCAGCAAGTGAGACAACGTTCTGGAAAAACTTAAATCATGTCTTAAACATTTGATAACACTCAAGTAGGTATGAGTTCAGAAAGGAGCTATTATGCTACTCTCTACTGTCATAGCACTGAAAAAGAAGTCAGTCACTAGTAAAATCAGTCAAGTTATTCAAAAGACGTTCATCTTGGATCCACCATTTTGTCTCCCTTATGTTTTCTTGTCATTAAAAACAAAAGGTGACTTTGATGATCCAAAACAATGAACAAATAGTCTATGCAAGTTGGCAGTTCCTACATAATCCCTAGCACCTTAGCGATGCAAGTTTAGTGACATCATCACAACCACGATCAATAAGTATCCTTTGGAAAGCGTACATGGCATTGTGAGTATAGCAGTGGAAAAGGGATCTTAACCAGTGTCCATATTCTATTATTAAATCCGGCTAAGAAAAGACGTAAGCAAAATTTCAAGGTATAAAATCGTAATCTACTGCTGCACATTCCAAACTTATTTTTGAAGTAAATACAGGTCTTGGAATCAGATGATTGTTCTCATTAAACTGAGCGGAAGTCGGTGTAGCAAAAGAGAAAGATTTGAGATCACAGTATTCGGGATTATGAGTGCTTAGTTTAATAGTCCACTAAGTGTAATTCTCCCATTTCCTTTTGTTTGATCCCGTATATTTGTCCATAGTTTCAAGTCTTTTTAGAATTCTAGTGTTCCCCACTTTAATGAATGTCCCCTGCCATCCATCACATCTGTAAAGCCTGAACATGGGGGTTAGCATCTCCCACGTTGACAAACCCAGTCCTGCCCCAAGTCTTAGAGATTTTATTTCTTAAGCATCTCTCACATCCAGACTCTTTTCTTCCTCTCCCTCTCCAATTCCTTATCCGTTATCATTTGCCTGGCCCAGGGCAAGAGTCTCCTCATTGGCTCCCCAGAACCCACTTTTCTAGTCCTCTGATCTCTATCATGCGATAGCCAAAGTTGTCATTTAAAAATGCAAATAATCATAATTTCATCTTTGCTTAATACCCTTTGATGGTTTCCCGTTTCTCTTAGAATAAAATCCCATGCCCTTAACAAGGCTCTTCCTCACCGCATGGTCTGGTTCCCTCCTGCCTCTCCACCCTCGCATCACAAGGCTCCCCTTCCACCCTCTGCACCTCCACCTCTCATTTCCTGAGCCACCCCATGCCTCTTTCCGTCACCACACCCTTGCACATGCTGCTCGTCCCCAGCTTCCACGGTTCATTTCATGCTTCCTCAATTAAAATTGTTAAAATTGTCCTGATCTTCCAAAGGCTGTCTTGTTCCACTGTAACTTCTTTCATACCACCGTATAACTTTCTTTCATAAGACATATTTGAGTTTGTAATGATGTATTTATTTTTGAGATATCGGTAATATTGATCTTTCTCCTGGCTTCGTGAAGGATGAGACTAGATCTGGTTTTCTGCAAGACATGATGCCTGTCACATACCAGGCATTCAATAAATGCTGTCGAATTAATGGAAGGTTCCACTTTCTAGTCTTCTCATCTAAAATCCACAAGTTCATAATAATGAAGGCCAGAAAAAAAAAAAAAAAACAACACCAAATTGACTGGCTTGCTCAAAAATTACCCTGCCACAGTTGCCAAAGAGAATTAGCATGGCAAATTCTGTAATGTTGCTTGTGGCAGAGAAGGTAAGGTGAAGAATCCAGTGGAACCAAGGTTAACTGCTTTCAAAAACTATGATGGTAGGATCCCACCATTACTTGTACTCACAAAGTACTTTTTTCACTTACCTATGATAGAGAATAGCAGGTAGGTAACAGCTATTCTCCCAACTCTGCCTTATTATGCAAAAAACATTTTATTTAGGATAGTTAAGCCACAACTTATTTCAGAAACACATCCAGAGGTTTCAAATATACATGTGACCCTAGTTGTTAAAATTGGGTTACAACAATTATTCATTTCACGGGAATAGATCCATAATTACAAAAGTTAAAATCATATTAAAATCACACAGCAGTATAGCCAGTTTCTTAACTCCCTCTGTTACTTTTTATTTTCTTTCTATCAGCTATGAGTTTAATTTTATTTTCAGCAGCTTCAAAATACTGAGCTAAAGATTGAAATTATAGGGAAAGATAAACTGCTGCATTCCATGATTTGTTAACAAAGTTGCGTTATTATCTCTCTAGGAATATCTGTCCTTTTGCATCTGTCTCAGACTATGTAGTCCCTGCTGCCTGTGGTGTTCAGAAGGTGGAGGGTTAAAAGCTTATATTTAGCAACAGGATGTATCTGTGGTTAAGGACGTTAAGTGGAGTGGACAATGAAAAATTAAATGTACCTTTCTTGAAAGAAAAGGAAGCTTTATGTAGACTATTCAGGTAGCTTTGAGCTTATATTATGTCTGGTGTTTATGGATTTTTTAGAATGTGGTTCTATTTGTCTTTTTACATTTTCACTGAAAAACATTTTGAGATTTCTCACATTCTTTGTGAATTATGCAGACGAATGTTCCAGGGAGACAAAAGTATAACGTGCTTACTTAACTCAAAGCAAAGTATCCTCTTGCATCTATCGTGAGCATAAGCGCTCCATCAGTCATTGGTCACCTTCGATACTTCTTACCAATAAACCAGGCAGTTTGTAGTCTGGTCGCAAGTGAGCATCTCTTACTAACAATGATCTAGTTGAACTTTGGCTCCTGGGAAGAAGGCCTGGAAAAGACATTTCTTCTCCTTTTATGATTTCAGTGAAGAATGCAAATTGCACATCAGACTTTGAGGAATACTTTGCCAAAAGAAAACTGGAGGAACGCGATGGCCATGCAGTCAGCATCGAGGAGTACCTTCAGCGCAGCGACACAGCCATTATTTACCCAGAAGCCCCTGAAGAGCTGTCTCGCCTTGGCACGCCAGAGGCCAATGGGCAAGAAGAAAATGGTGAGGCTGTAATTCATTTTTAGCCACTGCACTGACCTCTGCAGCTGTTACAATTACAAATGCACTACATGCCTGGGTGTTTACCTTAAAATTTGAAGAACAGCTGCAGAGGCATGGAATTTCATGAGCAAAGATTAGAACTGTAATTTTAGGGTATTGTGAAATTTTTTTGTCAGCAAATTCGTGTCATTTGTACATCCAATAAAGAACAAGAACAATTAGAGCCATTGCTAAGAGATAAAAATATCTAAATTTATTCCTATCTTTCTGAAATATTTTACTTTTGAGGAAAAAAAAAAAAAGTTGAGAAATACTGACCCTCACCTTTTGTTCTCCTCTCCTGACACCTGAAAAGAAGCTCCTTCACACCGTGAGTTCCCGAGTAATAATATGTCACTAAAGGTTCAATAGGCACTGTCAGTCACCGAAAGAGAATTTCCTCATTTATCAGCTGTTTAAATGCACCCCCCCCCCCAAATCTCAAGTAATTAATTAATTTTCTAGCGCAGTGTGAGCCGATTCCGACAAGTCTGTCCTGGGTGTGCGAGGGGACTGGTGAGCAAGGGGGCCGGGTGCAATGATGGCACTCTGGCGGAGCAGATTGCAGTGATTCCTGTCATACCATCCCGGGCAGTCAGCCCATTAGCTGCCATTGATTTACTGACCTTTTGGCCCGCTCCTCTCTCTCTCGTCTCTCGGCTACAGACCTGCCACCTGGAACTCCAGATGCTTTTGCCCAACTGCTGACCTGCCCCTACTGCGACCGGGGCTACAAGCGCTTGACATCACTGAAGGAGCACATCAAGTACCGCCACGAGAAGAATGAAGAGAACTTTTCCTGCCCTCTTTGTAGCTACACGTTTGCCTACCGCACCCAGCTCGAGCGGCATATGGTGACGCACAAGCCAGGGACCGATCAGGTGGGGGCGGGTGGGGGGGCGTTTTAAGTGATTTCTTTCTATAATAACCCCTTAGAGAAACGATATTGCTTTGATTGGCAATCATTATTAATTTTTCATGGCATTTTGAAGATGCAGATCTTTTAATGGTAATAGCTTTAATTGAGGTCTAAATGATTTTTTGATGGTCTCTTCTAATATGATTTAATAGTCTTATGTTCACGATCGAATGAGTGTGTTAATTTCTAATTTAGAAATTTTATTTGCACTTTAACTTGACTTTAGTTTCATTTTTATGTTCCACAAAAAGTGAATGAAATTGTAGCATTTTTAATTATACATTATTAAACATCTCAGCAATTTTAATTCCATTTTTCACCTAGTTTTACTTAGAAATTTCCTTTTCATATAGGACCCAAGTCATGGTAAAAGAAGTGTCTATTTCATTTGTCATATAACACCTTCAATTACTTGAAGTATTTTTACAAGCTGCTACTAGTTTATGAAATCTAATTAAGTGTTTTAAGGAAAATCAAAAAGGCATATAGTATAGACGTATATATATAATAAGTTGGATTAATACTAAAACATTGGATATACATTTAAAATGATCCCTTCTGGATATGCATATTTGTAGCTAAATGTTAAAATTTAGCTCTGCCTTTTGGCTTACTTGTCTTAAAAATAACAACTCTGTCTTGAACAGGTAAGCATAGCTTCTTAAATTTTTAAAATAATTGAATAGGATTGATTCACCATGTCTCTTAAATATTGCAGCAAAACTGCTCTTTCTGTCCTCCTGGGAGAATTGACTCTGCAAATTGATATTATGATATGTTCGAATAGTAGCAGAAATGGTGTGCCTTAAGTCATAATAACTGGCCCTGCAAATCAGGAATCATCCTATTTAAACCTTGACACCATATCTGTTTTAAAAATTATTAACATGATCTTTCATATAAAATTCTTACTTTTTCCTTATGGGCTTTATTTTCTTCGAATAAGAAAAATAAGAATAAGCAAACACAACCAAGCAATGCTGATCATACTCTATTATGGAATTTTTACTATTTTAAGAGAACAGCTCATATAGATCATTCCATTTATATCTGATCGGGCTTTGTCACCTGAATGTTTTTCAAAGATCAGTTATTTTAAAAAAAAAAATGCTCGCATAGTTACACTTATGTAACAGTTTATCTCCCCTTGCTTATATGCACAAAAACTCTAGGAAAAAAAAAAGTGCCAAGATATTTATCTAGCATAACCGCTTTAAATTTCACATGCAGAAGTGTGATTGTGTTGGCGCATTATGAATGGTAGCTTTGGTGTTGAAAAGTCCCCTCATTTGCTCATGGCATTTACAATTAGTAAATTAAAATGATTGTATCATATTAACAGTGGCACAACTAAAGTTTATAGTAGTCCTCTGAGGGCTGTGGGGGGAGACAAAGCAGCTGTTGCTGTTTGTTTATGCAACTCAGCAACATATGAGCGCTGGTCCCTCAATGGCGCTCGGCGAGCTGGGCTCTGCTTGATCTTTGAAGGTTGCTGCTGTTTGAACAAACCTCCCTGTGTCCCATGTAACACCATCTGTCTCACTAGGAATGTGGGAAGATTCAGCACACCCTAGCAGTTGTCATACCGTTTCTGTGCTGTCTTTTTTGCAAAAGGCTTTTGTGTCATTGCTGCTTGAAAAAGGCTGACCTCCTACCTTGAGCATCCAGAGTGGATGACTATATTTTTTTTTTCCAGAATTCGAAGTCACACTGCTTTTTTTTTCCCCTTGTTCAAAAAGGTCAGCTGTGTTTGATTATATCTTTGCTGCTTTTAACTTGTCTTTTCAGCAAACTTTTTTTTTCTTTTTTGTCCCTACTCCCTAGCACACTACTAAAAAGGAAAATGAAAAGTCGTTGAAGTCTTTCCTACTGGCCTGTGATAAAACTGTTCAAGCAGCTATAACCCAAGATGTTGTCTCTTACATTTGATAATGAATCAAATCTGATATGCAGCACCTCAGGAAAAACAGGGTTTACATTCACTACCAGCACAGTGAATGGGATATTTAAACATGCTTATCATGCAATGAAATATTTATAGTCAAGTGTTTTTTGTTCGTGTGTTTTTGATTTTTTTTTTATTCTTTTTTAAATTTTAGATTGGTTTAGTATAAGATATACTTTTACACTGATACAGAAAATTTGATAAAATTTGCTACGTGCATGTGGGGTGTTTTTTTTTTTTTTTAGACTATTCAGAATTTTAAGGAAGACATTTTTTTTTTTTCCTTAACAAAATAGTTGCATTCTAGCAGGGAATCTTCATATTTTAAGAATTTATAGTAAACACAAAAACAATAAACATCTTTACAATTATACTTTCTCATCTCTGAGGGCTCAAAAAAAACAATTTGGAAAAGAGACTACAGAAATAATTCTAAAGCAAGTGTTGGTGCGCATGTGAAAGCACTTTTTTTTATTTGTTCCAATTTTATTACCAACATTATCACTTTTATTGCAACTCTGAAAGACTGGGCAGATAAATAAGAATGCACTCAAACCTTTTGGCCTGTCTGAAAAATAGAGGCCTTTTAAAAATATTCTTAACAAATTTTCTTTGTTCCTCCTGCACACAAAACTGATGCCAATCTTTTCTCCTGTTTTAGCACCAAATGCTAACACAAGGAGCAGGTAATCGCAAGTTCAAATGCACAGAGTGCGGCAAGGCCTTCAAATATAAACACCATCTGAAAGAACACCTGCGAATTCACAGTGGTGAGTAGCAGAGGTGCTGGCTCTCACATTTGCATTTTGTTTAATTAGGGGAATTTTAAAAGATTGTTTAAAATGTACATGGTCCTGTTTGTAGTTTTTTGGAACTACCCATTTGTTTCATAAACTATGTGGGCCTGACTTGTCTTCATGAGACTTAGGGCACCACCAATAACATTATCTTATAACAGGAAGAAGAAGTATGCTTATACTTCTTAAAAACTACAAATGTTTTAATTCATTACAAAATCTAGAGGCTCCTTTTTGTGCTTTTGAAACCCCTTCTCCAGATCAAAAAATTTTCCCCTGAGGAACCTCAACTGACAAATTCTGAAAGATATTCATTTTTGATACCTAACCATGAAAGAAAGTTGAAGGATTTTGGATAAGAGCTGTGTATGATAAATGTTCCCTGATTTCTGAGAGCTGTGTATCACAGAATGGTATCCTACCACTGAGATTTCTTCTTTATAACTAGTTTGATAGCTCTGCCAAGCATTTTATTACCAAATTGGATGCTATTCAAAGGACTAGTTGGATTGGTAGAATCAATGGAATCTCCACAGAGTTGATTAAAGCCATGGCTACACTTCCCTTTAAATACTGTGACATCTTTATTGTGCTATTGACCACACATTAATCTGACACTCTGTTTAAATAGGAGGCTGCCGATGGCAAGACAAGATTTGGGATCTTAGCAGAAAAAGGCATAGATAGCCCTACCTTTCACGGCTAACATCTTGAGTTATGTCCTCCCAGGGTAGATAAAGCCCAGAAACAGTTGTGGCCACATAATTCTAATCTAAGCACCTAGCATGTAGAGGTAGCCCATTGTGTTCCTTCCATTTGGTTTCACAGATTCTAGTCTTGGTAGACAACTAGAATTGTTACCTAATCAAAGAAATGTAATGTTAATTTCAATTATCATTTTAGGTGAAAAACCTTACGAGTGCCCAAACTGCAAGAAACGTTTCTCCCATTCTGGTTCCTACAGTTCGCACATCAGCAGCAAGAAATGTATTGGTTTAATCTCGGTAAATGGCCGAATGAGAAACAATATCAAGACGGGTTCTTCCCCTAATTCTGTTTCTTCTTCTCCTACTAATTCAGCCATTACCCAGTTAAGAAACAAGTTGGAGAATGGAAAACCACTGAGTATGTCTGAACAAACAGGCTTACTTAAAATTAAGACAGAACCACTAGACTTCAATGACTATAAAGTTCTTATGGCCACACACGGGTTTAGTGGCACTAGTCCCTTTATGAATGGTGGGCTTGGAGCCACCAGCCCTTTAGGAGTTCATCCATCTGCTCAGAGTCCAATGCAGCACTTAGGTGTAGGGATGGAAGGCCCTTTACTTGGATTTCCCACCATGAATAGTAATTTAAGTGAGGTGCAAAAGGTTCTACAGATTGTGGACAATACGGTTTCCAGGCAAAAAATGGACTGCAAGGCTGAAGAAATTTCCAAGTTGAAAGGTTATCACATGAAGGATCCATGTTCTCAACCTGAGGAACAAGGAGTTACTTCTCCTAATATTCCACCTGTCGGTCTTCCAGTAGTGAGTCATAATGGTGCCACTAAAAGTATTATTGACTATACATTAGAAAAAGTCAATGAAGCCAAAGCTTGCCTCCAGAGCTTGACTACTGACTCAAGGAGACAGATCAGTAATATAAAGAAAGAGAAGCTGCGTACTTTAATAGATTTGGTCACCGACGATAAAATGATTGAGAACCACAACATATCCACGCCATTTTCATGCCAGTTCTGTAAAGAAAGTTTTCCTGGCCCCATCCCTTTGCATCAGCATGAACGTTACCTTTGTAAGATGAATGAAGAGATCAAGGCGGTCCTGCAACCTCATGAAAACATAGTCCCCAACAAAGCCGGAGTTTTTGTTGATAATAAAGCCCTCCTCTTGTCATCTGTACTTTCTGAGAAAGGAATGACAAGCCCCATCAACCCATACAAGGACCACATGTCTGTACTGAAAGCATATTATGCTATGAACATGGAGCCCAACTCTGATGAACTGCTGAAAATTTCCATTGCTGTGGGCCTTCCTCAGGAATTTGTGAAGGAATGGTTTGAGCAACGAAAAGTCTACCAGTATTCAAATTCCAGGTCACCATCACTGGAAAGGAACTCCAAGCCGTTAGCTGCCAACAGTAACCCTCCCACAAAAGACTCCTTGTTACCCCGCTCTCCTGTAAAACCTATGGACTCCATAACATCACCGTCTATAGCAGAACTCCACAACAGTGTTACGAATTGTGATCCTCCTCTCAGGCTAACAAAACCTTCCCATTTTACCAATATTAAACCAGTTGAAAAATTGGACCACTCAAGGAGTAATACTCCTTCTCCCTTAAATCTTTCCTCCACATCTTCTAAAAACTCCCACAGTAGTTCATACACTCCAAACAGCTTCTCTTCCGAGGAGCTCCAGGCTGAGCCTTTGGACTTGTCATTACCAAAACAAATGAAGGAACCCAAAAGTATTATAGCCACAAAGAACAAAACAAAAGCTAGTAGCATAAATTTAGACCATAACAGTGTTTCTTCATCATCTGAAAATTCAGATGAGCCTCTGAACTTGACTTTTATCAAGAAGGAGTTTTCAAATTCAAATAATCTGGACAACAAAAGCACTAACCCAGTGTTCGGCATGAACCCATTTAGTGCCAAACCTTTATACACAGCTCTTCCACCACAAAGCGCATTTCCCCCTGCCACTTTCATGCCACCAGTCCAGACCAGTATCCCTGGGCTACGACCATACCCAGGACTGGATCAGATGAGCTTCCTACCACATATGGCCTATACCTACCCAACTGGAGCAGCTACCTTTGCTGATATGCAGCAAAGGAGAAAGTACCAGCGGAAACAAGGATTTCAGGTAATGAGACATACCTTTTTGCTCTGAAGAAAGGAGATGGCAATTATATTGTTTAAGTACATGTAGGGTAAAGAAAAAACTTAGTGAGAAAAATCCGCAGAAATAGAAGAGTTCGTTTTAACATAAACCTAAAACTATAAGTGGACTAGAAAATCAAATGGATGAAACAGTGGAAACTGTACTCCGAAACCACGTTTGCTTTAAAAAGATAAAAAAAAGCAATTAATGTTTATTTTTGAGATTTATTTAGGTTAACTCATCCACTTTTAGAACTATACGTTGATAATAGTATTTAGTAGGACTTACAGAAGTGCTAAAAGTTGAAGTTTACAACAGTCACGTGCTTTTAAAGATTTGCACAACTCACAGTAACAATAGGAACTTTGTTTTAGAGAGAATAATTTATTTTAAAGAGTATCTAAGAAAATATTTACCAAATCATCAAACTGGTTAATAATTTATGGTTTATCAAATTCAAAAGCAGGTATTTTTTAACATTATGCACTATAATCTGTTTGTAAAATAGGAGGGTAAGTAGCAGTGCACCTCTGTAACAGCTGTTCCAGTATTACAATTTACAGTACATCTGCCCTCTTTGTAAATGAATTTAAGCCTATTTAATCTTCTCTAATATTAATTAGTGCAAACATAGTCTAAGAAAACTGAACTGTGGGCTAGCAAATGGAAATGTATGTTGTTATGCAAGTTTGCACTCCTTTGGATCAAGACAAAATAAATATCAAGAAATTTAATAATTTACTGATCCACATTCATTATTGCTCAATGCTGAAGGCTGTTTTAACATAGAACATTGATAAAAAGTGTTATTAATATTCCCTATTTCAAATTAGAAAATTAAATATAAAAATATAGCTTGAGGCCTTTAGTTGGTAGACATACATTTAAATAGATTGCATAATAATAACATTTTGTACCTAAATATAAAATTCAATTAAAATGGGGTTTCTACAGCTACAGATCATTTCTAAAGTTAAACACACTGGAAAATACACAAATTCCGTTGTTTAATTTTCACTCGTGGATATTTCCTGGTATAAAGAAAATGAAGGATTTTAGAAAAATTTATGTTTCTCTCGCCTTCAGAGTTGACTATTTTCTGTCCTTGAAAAACAGTGAGCTCTACGATCCAGGGCAGAGAAGGTTTATATTTTTGTTGAAATGTGAGACCTTGTATGTTGTTCATGGAAAATAATCATTTTTTAAAAACTAGATCAATTACTAGCAAGCATTTTTGAGGTTCTCCAAATGTCACCCTGTTTGAAGTTGTTTGGTGTGAGCACAAAGAGAAGACACTGTGTTGAACTGTGTGGTTATGTCACAGGGAGAATTGCTTGATGGAGCACAAGACTACATGTCAGGCCTAGATGACATGACAGACTCCGACTCCTGTCTGTCTCGCAAGAAGATCAAGAAGACAGAGAGTGGCATGTATGCGTGTGACTTATGTGACAAGACATTCCAGAAAAGCAGTTCCCTTCTGCGACATAAATATGAACACACAGGTATGAGTGACTTTGACTAGCTGGTTAGAGCTTCCGGCCTGCTGTACATTTCATAATATTTAATGAGCACACTTGTGCAACATAAGATGTAGCATATGCTGATACCTTCAACAAGGAAGAAATAATGCTTTTGCCTAGCTCAGTAGGACTTTTTTGTCGCCTGTTTATTGGATCATTTGTGTGTTTATGAATGTGCTTGTCTTCATAGCTTTCCAGTTATTCTGTAAACCAAATTTATAAGTCATGTCAAAGGAACATTCAAATGGCCAGGGCAATGAAATGGCATGACCCAAGCCAGTTATTGAACATATCTTCAAATTCTGAAGCTGTGACGGACCTATGTATATAAAAATCTAATAAGAAATTCAGTCAGTAATGTATTAGTTTCATCATCCAAAACATCAAGTAAGCCATGATTTGGAGGTGATTTTGTTTAATTTTCATAAATTGGCCACATTTTGAATCGAGTAAAGGTGCTAGTACCATAAAAGAAAAGTAATTGGCCAAATGAACTACTGAAACCACCTGTATTTGGAAGACTGAAATATGACTTTCTAAATCTTTAGTTTATTTCTAATTCATGCAATACTAATTAGGAACAATTACAAAGAGTTGACAAAATAGCATCCTAATTCTTCCCTATGAGTAAAGAGATGTTGGGTTAATTAAAAAAAAAAAAAAACAAGAAGGAAAGAAAGGAAGATGAAATATATAATGTAAATTAATATTACTTCCCACAATCCAAGATCTGACTTGCAGTTTTGTAATTGGCTCCACCTGGGTTCCCTCCCTCCCTCCTTCTGTCTTCTCCCCCCTGAACAATGAGCTTAACAGCCTCATCCCTGGCTCCTAACCCATCTGCACCTCATCCCTAGAAATTTGGCATACCGTATTGGCCCTGGATGGGAAAAGAAAGAGTATAGGATCTCAATCAAAATATTGGCAAGAGGGAAAAAAAGTAGGGGAGCGCAGACATACGAAAACATCTGATTTTAAACAAGGAAAACTAGTGTCAAACATTTTAATATGGAGGGAAAAAAATCAACCTAACATTAATGCTTTTGGGGTAAAAGTGATGAGGAGGCAAAAAAGAAAAAAGAAAAGGGAATGTGAAAATTTCCTGTCGCATTTTGACTGCTGAAATACATGGTATCCTTTTTGGTGATTGAAAACTATCTTTGAGAAGCACCTGTACTCACCATTGTCCCTTATTCCTCACTGGGCTGCTAGAGGCAGCACAAGTGACCAGCATCAGCCAGAGTGGGGGTGGGGGTGGGGAGCATGTTCTGTACCATTAAGTGTTGAGGGCATCTTTGAAAACAGCACGGTTGATAAATAGCAAAGCCATAAAGATATTTTCTTTAGTGCTAAGTTCTATTTAAGCATTTACAGAGTAAAGATATTTTCATACCTAAATTCATTTTTAATATTTTAATCAACCTCAAATATATTTTGTATTTCATTATCCTGCTACAATAGGCACATCATTGAAGGCATCTCTCCCTCTCTGATTGGTTTTATTATATGACCATATGCAAACTCTATCATTTACTACATGGCGAGTGTAAAAATTGTATCTTAGGGAGGGCTATCATACATATTGACATCCAGTCAATATATTTATTTATTATAAATTAGATAGGCCATAAGCTTCACAGGTATATAGATAGTTGAGAGACCCAAAAGTTGACAAACACAAATATGCATAATTAATTTGAAAAAGAAACTTTATTTTAAAAAGTAAAAATAAGATGTTCTGGTCCTTTAAGATGTGAGATCTGCTGTCTAGAAACATCGCCTAGCAACAAGATGCTAACCATCCAATGATTTCTCTAAACTTATGATTAATTATCCTCCTGTTGGCTTCCTAGCATTGTCAAGTTTCCAGCATATTACCTTTTTGGTCTTGACCAAACATCTCATGACATTACTATTGTCAGTATATTAGGTTCCATCCAAGTGAAGTTCTCCATGAATTTTCTATCAATGTGATATATGTGGAAATGTAGTCCATTTTCCTATAGTAATTGGGCCCACAAGTCTTTTATTTGTTTATATTAAGCACTAGTAATATTTGGAGAATGTATTAATATGAAAATTATAAGTGAGAACTGTCTTGGGGTTGATTGATTCTGAGGTTGGGAAATAAAGTTGAATTGTCATTTGATTATGTCTTGATTATGAATGTGTCATTGATCAAGTGTGTTTGTTATAATTTAACATATTGAATCATTTAAATTAAGAAGGAAATTATGACCTACTTATTCTTGGGATCCAGTGGGTTTTTTTTTTCTTTTGCCTCAACCTGTTTAATTTATTCCCTAAACAGATAGCACAATCATACTGCTTAATTTTTCTACCAATGGCTATTGCTTGCTTGGTTTTCCTGGGACTGGGACAGAGGAAGGAAGCACTATGTAAATGTTGACTTCAATAGAATTAACTGTCACAAACAAGGACTGTGAAATAAAAAAAAACTGAAACTCCTGTTAGGCACTCTCAAGAACTCATTTGTAGTCTACTAAAATTTCAATCTGGCCTTTATTCAGTGCTTTCTGTGTTGAGACCTTGAGATAGAAGCTTTTCCTTATTGAGACATTGTGGTAGGGCCTTATTTAGAAAAGTAATAAAAATGTTTCTACTTTTGAGTACATACAAAGTTTGAAATTACCAGTCAATTTTGTTTCTCAGTTATATGGTAATTTTTTTCATACCACAAACCTTGCATTTATTACTAACTTCAGTTATCATTATAGCTGTCAAGTGAATCATGGACCTAGATATTAGAGAAAATATTTACCCTAAAAAAGTTTTGATTCGTTCAATATCAGTTTGGATGTTCTCAATATTGTTCATGTGGAAATTTAATTCTAGGACATCTTGATTTGAATCTGGTAAAACCAACCAAAGAAGTTAAAAAGAGATGAATATCCAAGTCAGTTCCTATTTAGATTGAATATATTAAATACTTAACCACTGAAACGTCTGGAGATCAGTAGACTATATAGTGTAAGGTATATGTTGAAACTCTCACCTCCTTCCAAATTCTGCCCTTTGCATGAAATTATAAGATGAACATTTTATTCTTTCAGGTTGTCAGTTTATTAGCAAATGAGTTCTCTGAAAATGGATTGCTTGTAACCATAGAGTTATGGTTACAAGCATATAGTTAACCATCTATATGATAGAAATGATAGATTGCAATTAGGCAGCCATCCCCCAAGCATTTCTTTTTGGTTTTTTTTGTTTTGGAGACACAGACACAGAGTTTTGCTCTGTCACCCAGGTTGAGTACAGTAGTGTCACCACAGCTCACTGCAACCTCAAACTCCTGGTCTTAAATGATCCTCCCTCCTCAGCCTCCCAAAGTGCTGGGATTAAAGGCATGAGCCCCCCTATCCGGCCTCCCCAAGCATTTCTAAAAGGCCATGACATTCTGGAGAAGGCTCAGGACACTGCTCTGTGTTTTGTTGCTTTGGAAAAGAGACAGCTATATCAACAGTAATGTTCTTCAAAATCATTTATATGGCCCCTCCATGAAGTGACCTAACTAGTTGACCTTTTGTGTTCCTGAGCTGATGAGACATTAGTATCCACAAGAGGTTGTAGGACAGTTTTGTCCATGTGTGCTGTAGCAACGAAAGCACCAAGAAATTTTTCATGTACAATTTGTCTTCTCTCCATTCAGATTCATTTCTTCCATGTACTCTGCTCCTGCTGCATGCCTCCTATTTAGAACTTGAGAAGTTATTGAACATGTACTAACAAATAACAATAAAATGATCTAACATTAATTGACTGCCTACCATGTGCAGTCCTTGCACTAAACACTTTATATACATCGCCTCCCATACTTTTTGTACCCTGCCCACAAGCTAGGTCCCCAAATGATCTCCCTTTTACCTACAAGGACCCTGATCCTGAGAGAGGTTAACATGCCCGGAGTCTACACAGCCAGTTGTAAAAAATGTAATTGAACCCAGGCAGTCATATTCCAGAACCCATTTTCCCCATTTAACCCTGCACCATCCTGCCCCATGGACAAATCACTACTGCAGGAAATGT